GGCATCTCCCAGCAGTCCACCTGAAGCAAAACTGAGCAGGATCTGGAGTAGAGAACGGTGCCGGGGGGAGTTTGACTCCACAGGGATAAGGAAGAGAACGAAAAACGGAGCTGCAGAGATCAGCACTGTGGCCCCCAGTGCCTGGTGAGGGACAGTCAGGGGTCAAGTGGTATAGGATTTCCCAACAATCCAGAATCAGACCCTCTCCCTCCCATCCCCTGGGGACTCACGTAGGCCCAGAGAGTGACAGTGTCCAATTCCTCCTTGATGCCTGGAGCCCCATGGCTGTGCTCATGGTCATGTCCATGTCCCCTGTGATAGAGGCTCTCATGGGAGTGGCCATGGCCATGGTGCAAATCCTCATGTGAATGTCCATGTTCGTGACCGTGGGTATGCCCATGCCAGATGCTCTCATGAGTGTGGCCATGGCCATGGGCATGGCTGTGTCCTTGGTGGAAATCCTCATGTGACTGCCTGTGGCTGTGTCCATGAAAGTCCTCGTGCAGGTCCTCTTGCAGGTCGCCATGACCTCCGTGTCCGGCCACTAGCAGCCCCAAGGCTGCCCAGATCAGCAGTTCCACGGCCCCCCAGCGGGGGACCTCCAGGCCTCTGGCCATCACGCTGACCAGAGGGACAGAGAGTGATTCCACCTGACCTTCAACTCTATACCTATGTGGGGTCCTCTTTACTCCGCTCGCGCCCTCCGTCCACTTCTATGGGCCGCTCCCCATTCTGTCCCCACCCACATTGTTCCCAGGACTCGTTCTCTTTATCCCGAACCCCCTCCCGGATGTAGGGCCCCTGGACACCGCTCTAGGCTTTGGTCGTCCGTTTTACGGGCCTTCTGGGTCCTCGTCTCTATGACCCACTAAGTGGGCAAAAAGGCCTGAAAAGAACGGACGGTAGGGTAAAGCGGGGAATTCTCACCGGCTCCAGTATCCTTTCCTTTTCCCGTTTGCTTAGACGTGGCAGTCCCACCTCTAGCTCCCGCGAGAACAGGAAGTTCCGTTCTACCTCGGTTCCAATACCTTTACTAATATGTCGGCTCTCCTGTATTGGCTTGGCTGCCCTCCCTGATGCGCATGTGCGATGTGTGTGTGGAGGTTATTTGAGGGGAGGCTGGGCGAGGCCCGCTTACAGGCCCGAGGAGACCGCCTCCTACGTTTCCAACTAGACGAGAGGGCGGGAACTAACGCGAAGACTTCCCGTCTATACCAAGATGGTTGCCATATCGGCGCTGTCATTTTGGTACGGAGCAGAGCGAAGCGCCTAATTTGACCCGGTTCAGGCCAGAGTCCTTTCCCCTGGGGCCTTCTTGTGCTCGGCCAGCCCCCGGTCAGTCTTTGGGAATCCCTGGTACCTCTTCGGTATCCCTACACTCAGCCAGGAATCATGTCTTGGGCTGCTCGCCCGCCCTTCCTCCCACAGCGGCATGCCGCAGGGCAGTGTGGGCCGGTGGGGGTGCGAAAAGAAATGCATTGTGGGGTCGCGTCCCGGTGGCGGCGGCGACGGCCCTGGCTGGATCCGGCGGCGGCGGCGGCGGCTGCAGTAGGAGAACAACAAACCCCGGAGCCGGAGCCGGGGGAGGCTGGACGGGACGGGATGGGCGACAGCGGGCGGGGTGAGTGTTCGAGCCCGTGAACAGGCGAGCCAGTGACCGCGCTATCTGCAACCCCTCCCCCAGCTCCTCTGGCGCTCTTTCCCTGGCGCTCCCGCCCCCTTGTTTGTAAACACGCGTCCCCTCCCTGTGGAGGGCTTTAGCGCCCTCCCCCCGGGGCGGGGGGAGCTTCCGCCCTCCTGGCGGTGGCCGCCTGAGGCCCTGCGCTCCGGAGGTCCCGGGAGTGGGACACGAGTCCTCAAGGAGGAGGACTCTGGACGTTTGAAGTCGGATCCTGTGTCCTATGGGGGGTCCCTTCCTCTTCCCGCACGCTCCGGCTCCAAGCTGGGAATGGAGGGGCCGACTCGTCCACCCCACGTGCTGCCCCACCCACCCTGGACGCTTCCGGCTTGGGGTGACCAAGTGCCTTGCTTGGAATTTTTCCTCTCCTGAACTATCCTTTTTGTCCACCCCCTCCTCTTAACACTTAAACCGTTTACAGCAGGGAGTGGGCGGTCTCTGGACTTGGGGATGGGTGGGGTTGGGTGGGGCGCGGTGGGAGATTAGAGAATTAAAGTCTCCAGTGGGATGATTGAAGACTCATTTTCTCTTTTTGTTTCTCTGTTTGTGTGTCTCTGTGCCTGTATGTGTCCTTTCCTCAGACTCCCGAAGCCCAGACAGTTCCTCCCCAAATCCCCTTCCCCAGGGGGCCCTTCCCCCTTCTCCTCCTGGGCTACCCTTACCTCCTTCAGCAGCCCCATCCCTTGGAGGCTCTGGGGCCCCACCCCCACCTCCGATGCCACCCCCCCAGCTGGGCTCCCCCTTCCCGGTCATCAGCTCTTCCATGGGGTCCCCTGGTCTGCCCCCTCCAGCTCCCCCAGGATTCTCCGGGCCTGTCAGCAGTCCCCAGGTGAGAGGTTGTGGCCTACTTACTGCCTCTCCACTTTCATTTCCTTGTGACCCCGGATCCTTGTGTGAACTTCCCCACAGCCCACTGACCTTCCAGTCATCTAATCCTGGCAGGTCCTTGTGAGACCCTTTGCCCTTCCTGAGGTGACTGATATTTCAGTGCATGCTTCCTCTCCAACCCTTATAGTTTTTATGTCCCTTTCACCTATCAGTGATTTTCTGCCCTTTGTCCCATCTGTCATTCTGAGATACATGCCTTTCAGGGCCACTGTGTTGCACAGTTTCAGAGGGAACTGTATGTCTAATTTCTTTGGGGTTACGCTCCAGGGATGCCTCTTCACACAGACTGCAGTTTAAATAATATCTTCCGTAATGTGCAATGCAGGGCCCTTCTAGGTGTAGGGATGATTTCCATCACCTCCGAGAGGTTCTTCCCAGTGAGTCTCCCTGTGACTTCCCTATTTCCCCATCCCAGATTAATTCAACAGTGTCGCTCCCTGGGGGTGGGTCTGGCCCCCCTGAAGATGTGAAGCCACCAGTCTTAGGGGTCCGGGGCCTGCACTGTCCAACCCCTCCAGGTGGCCCTGGGGCTGGCAAACGACTATGTGCAATCTGCGGGGACCGAAGCTCAGGTATGGGGTCCAGAGGGTCAGCAGAGAAGAAAGGGAGTTTGTAATTTACCATTACTTGTGGCATTCCGAGGGCTGCATGGGGTCTTGTTGGAGCCAGTGCGCTGGGGAAGGCCTGATGAGAGAGAGCTAAGGAGCCTGAAGCTCAGATGTGGGATGGGCAGTGGTCAGAGGGAAAAGGGGGCTCATACAGGGTTTTTGAACAGTGAGGAGAGTGGGACTGGATCATCCCACCCGTGTGCTGGTTTCTCATCTCTGTATTTGGCAAACACAAAGTGAACTTAAAAGTAAGCTTGTCAGAGACCTAATGGTGAGAGGTCTACCTGCTGCCTTGTCATTGCTCTTCCCCTCTTCTTGTAGGCAAACACTACGGGGTTTACAGCTGTGAGGGTTGCAAAGGCTTCTTCAAGCGCACTATCCGGAAGGACCTGACCTACTCGTGCAGGGACAACAAGGACTGCACGGTGGACAAGCGCCAGCGGAATCGCTGTCAGTACTGCCGCTATCAGAAGTGCCTAGCCACTGGCATGAAGAGGGAAGGTAAGGGCCTGTCCGTCTGCCCTATGGGAGAGGAGGGAAGGGGCCAAGGGAATACTTGGGGAAACCACCAGCTATCCATCTCAGAGAGGCTGGACTGTTCTGTCTCTCCTCTAGAGGGCGATATTTGATTTCCTTCTCCCCTCCTCATCAGCAATTGTCCCTGGTATCCTGATCTGGTCCCTTGAGTTTCCTTCTAAATGGGTCTGCTTCTGTGCCCTGCACCTGTGACCACTCCCACGTCTGGTGCTAGAGTAGAATAAATTTGCCTTCTCTTGGTGGGCTTCTCTGTCACCCCTTCTCTAACCTGAATAGTCTCTCCTCTCTTTGACCCTTTGATCCTTTTTGGTTTCAGTCTCCCTATTGTCTGGTTTTTCCTTCAAATTCTGGAACACTGTACTTTTAAGCTATAGACTTTATTGAAGATCCCAAGGTTGCTTTTCCTCTTCTTTATCTTACCTTCTTAAGTCTGATTCTGGGATTCTCAGAAATGCATTATAGAGTATCTCTTTCACTTGGTCAGGCTCTTCATTTTAAAGAGATGAGCCTCAGGCATGGCTTTCCCAAGGTCATGAAACAAAACAGTTGCAGGGCTGGGATCAGAACCCACAGCTCAGAAGACCCAGGCCAGTGTTCCTTTCATTACCCCTTTGTTGGGTCAGAGGAGCACAAAATTTGCAGTCAGGCACACTTGGATTCAGATGTGCCATGTGTTATGTGAACTTGGGCAGGCTGTTTAACTTCTCAAAGCCCCAATTTTTTCATCTTTAGAAATGGGGGTAAGAGCTCACAGGGCTGTTAAAATAACTGAGTGAATGTTAAAGTGAAATGTGCTTGTCACATTTTGCCCTTGCTTTCTTGGCTAATTTTTTGCCCTTTTATAACCCGTTTCCACACTGCCTTCATTCTACTTTGTTTCTAGTGATGTTCCCACTTTCCACAAATATGTCCTACGGGCTATGAGACCTTGGTAAGGCCCTGAAGATGTTTTGGAACCCTTTCATGGCTGGCTGCTGACTTTCTGTTTTTTCTTCTCCTGCCTTTTCCCCAGCGGTACAGGAGGAGCGTCAGCGGGGGAAGGACAAGGACGGGGAGGGGGAGGGGGCTGGGGGAGCCCCTGAGGAGATGCCTGTGGACAGGATCCTGGAGGCAGAGCTTGCTGTGGAGCAGAAGAGTGACCAGGGCGTTGAGGGTCCTGGGGGAACCGGGGGTAGCGGCAGCAGCGTGAGTGATGGGGTCATTCCACTCTCCTTCCTGATGGGGGTTCAGGGGTGGGAGTCTAGGTCTTTTATTTCCCCCTCCCCTTCCCCTCACAACCTCCCTAACACTGCCTGGGACTGGAAGTGCTGCCAAAAGAAAGTCTCTCAAACATCTGAGGTGGGTCTGATAGCTTCCTCTGTCCCTCCCCCAAAAACAACCCACGGGCAGAACCCCAAGCAAGTCCTAAATAAACAATTGTTTTCCTGAATGCCAGAAGAGAAGCCTGATTTACAGGGGTGGGTTCAGATGGGGCTTGCAGAGAGACTCCGTATAAGGAGGGGGTGTCAAAAGCCTCTTAGAAGGGTGGGGCTCCAGTGTACCTCCAAACTTCCATAACTTTTATTCCCCATCCCCTGCAGCCAAATGACCCTGTGACTAACATCTGTCAGGCAGCTGATAAACAGCTATTCACACTTGTTGAGTGGGCGAAGAGGATCCCACACTTTTCCTCCTTGCCTCTGGATGACCAGGTCATATTGCTACGGGCAGGTCAGTGGCCTTGTATTCCTTTGCTCTCTTGACATTTGACCCCTTTTTGACTTGACCTTAGTGACCCCAGTGCATACTTGCATACCCAGGGAGCCAAGTTCACTGACCTCACCACCTCTTCTTCCCCAGTGTGCTTTGACTCCCATACCTGATCTCTGGCTTCTGACTCTTGCTGTCCCCCACCCAGGCTGGAACGAGCTCCTTATTGCCTCCTTCTCCCACCGATCCATTGATGTCCGAGATGGCATCCTCCTTGCCACAGGTCTTCATGTGCACCGCAACTCAGCTCATTCTGCAGGCGTGGGAGCCATCTTTGATCGGTCAGTGGCCTCCGCTGGCCCTTACGTAGAGGGGGTGGGGCTATTGGCTGGTCCGTGTCCAAGGCTGGCTGAGCTGTGACCTTTGAGTGACCTGCAGGTCCCTCTCCAGGGTGCTGACAGAGCTAGTGTCCAAAATGCGTGACATGAGGATGGACAAGACAGAGCTTGGCTGCCTGAGGGCAATCATTCTGTTTAATCCAGGTAAGAGGAGGAATGGCCCCTGTCTCTCAAGACAAGGCACCCTTGGAGCCTCCTCTTCTCTGGAGACTCTTAAGTTACCCATTTGACCCCCTTAGTAAGACCCTCAACCAGGAAATCTCCAGCTGACCAAGAAAAAAACACATAAACACATCCACTGATGTATTTCCCTCTGCCCATCCCACAAACCTGATGTGCCCTTTTTCCCTTGCCAGGCAGCTGGTGAAGGGCAAGTAGGTGGGGTCCCAAAGGGACATCGTGTGGGCAGCATCTCCACACTTGTCCTGACTTGATTTGTCCTCCTGTTCTCTCTTCCCTGCCAACCCAGATGCCAAGGGCCTCTCCAACCCCAGTGAAGTGGAGGTCCTGCGGGAGAAGGTGTACGCATCTCTGGAGACTTACTGCAAACAGAAGTACCCTGAGCAGCAGGGACGGTGAGAAGGAGCTGTGGGAATGAGGGGTTGTGGGTAGGGTACTGAGGCTCCCACAGGGGTGCGGGATGATGCCATAAGGATGTGTTCAGGACCCATGTGGCTCCAGCTCTCACTTGGCTTCTCTCACCTCTGTCTCAGGTTTGCCAAGCTGCTGCTCCGTCTTCCTGCCCTTAGGTCCATTGGCCTTAAGTGTCTAGAGCATCTGTTTTTCTTCAAACTCATTGGCGACACTCCCATCGACACCTTCCTCATGGAGATGCTTGAGGCTCCCCACCAGCTAGCCTGAGCCCAGACCCAAATGTGGTGCTCCCCACATGATGAGTGCACATCTGGGAGGACTCCAAGCCTTGGGGCAGGGCGGGAGGGGCCGTGTTCCTAGAATCTTGGTGAGGTGAGGAGTACAGGGCAGAACCGAGACCTCCAAGGGGGTTCATCAGCCCTCCAAGGGGTTTGCTTGGTATCACAAGTCAGGGGACCCTAGTTCCCTGTGAGGGCTGGACCTCTCTCTTCAGTGGCCTTGAGTCCCTGAATTTATCTGGGTTTACCGTGATTTGGGGTGATTACTCACCCCCTGCCTGGAGTGATCTGTCCTTCTCCCAGCACAAAGCACTGGCCTTGCTCCCAGGACATTACTTCCTTCTCATCCTCCCTCACTTAGCTCCCCATCTGAGGAGTGGAAATAGGAACTCTCCCAGAGATGGATACTGGGGGGCAGGCCTCCCAGACTGATGGACACAGGAGGAGTGCTCTGACAGGGCTTCCTCTAACCAAGCCTGGCAGACAGGGGCTTCTCTGGAAGAGAAAGATGGCCCTGTCATTGCCCTCTTCAGAGTCCCTCTCACACTTCACCTGCTGCTGCAGTCAGACTGAAAAATAAGGTGGTGGTTAAGGGGCGGCGGGTGGACATGTAGAACCAATCTGCTATTTTTAATTTCCTCTGAGGATGACTTACAGTTAGACTCAAAGAAGTACTGTACTTTGCCAGGTTGACTGAGAAATGCCAGTGGTGGAGGTAGTGTTTGGAAAAGGCAGGGCCCTGAGATGGTCTGTCCCTGGGGTTCCTGAAGCACTGGCCTTCCCACCCTCCTCCCCGATCTCTCCCTGTCTACCTTGGGGACGGGGCCTGGCTGTGATGGCAGGGTGAGGTAGGTGCTGGTTTGGTGAACAATCTCAGGCTCATCCCTTCCCAGCTGTTCCCCAGCCCTGGGCACATACAGTATAGGCAGCAGGGACACAGGACCCTGGCCTGAGAATTGAGGGGATACGGTCAGCCTATTTGGAGCTGGGGTGTTGGGGCTGCATGATTTTTGCCCTGCAGCTTTTCTCTCTGGGGTTCCTTTCCCCTCTCTTTCACACACAAAATCGCTTTCAAATTAAAATCGCTGTTTTCTGGACCGAGGTGACTGTTGGGAAGTGGGCAGCGCTGTGATGGGCTGGGTGTGGGGGGCATCCGGTAGGGAGCCCCTTGACGCTGCCGTCCAGGTGCCCTGGGGCCTGAGAGGCGGGCGCAGGGTGGGGGACACAAGGCGCGCTTTGTCGGGGAGGGGGGGAGAGGGTGTTCCAGGCTTAGGGCAGGCCGGCCGGAGGAAGGGGGGGCGGCTGATTCTCAAAGGTTCCTTGTTCACTTGCGCTCTCCTAGCGCCAGCGGGCGGCGGCGCCTCTGCTCGCTCCCGGCCGGCCTGGCCGCGCCGCGGGCTCCGGGCAGACCCGGCGCCGTGCCCGTTCGTGGGGGCGCACTGGACGCTGAGCGCGGCGGCCTCGGGCTTTGCCCGCCTGGGGGACGCCTCTCATCCCTGAGTGACCCAGTTTCCCCGGACTCTTCCACCTCGCCCTCTTGTCTCCACGGGATCCCTTTCCGTCTGGGCGCCCGGCCTCCCTTACCTCGTCCCTTCATTGTCATATCCTTAGACCTGATTATCCAGTGTTTGTCGGTTCGTCCGGCCTCTGGCCTTTCTCCACCCCCACGCCGGTTCCTGCTGCCAACCCTCTGACTACCTGCGCCCACCCCCCGCGACGGCGGAGCTGCAGGTCTCCAGTTGCTATCTATATCCTTGTCTATAAATACCCCTGCCCCTGCCCTGCTCTGTAATTACACCGGGCGGGCTGAGGGCAAGTAATTATAGAGACTTTGATGGCGACCCCCAGACCCGCCTCTCTCCTCCCATTATGCCCTAAATCCCGCCCAGGACTCTGCTGAAAGGGAGCTCTGGGTTCCCAAAGGGGACAGACTGGGGGCCTGTGACTGGTCGTCTGGGTACTAGAAAAGAAAAGCGCTGCGAAAGAGATACTGCGATTCCTGAAAAGAGGATCTTAGGGTACAGGGCAGTAAGTCCCTGCAAGGAGCAGAAGAGAGCAGTGCGAGGGTCAGCGAAGGAGAGTTCCCATTCCGCCCCACCCCCACCCCAGGTGGAGCTCGAGGGTGGGGTTTCCCTTCGGTGGCTGTGGGCGGGCGGCTGCAGCCAGGGGCTGAGCCGGGGGCGGAGGCGCGGTGGGGGCTCTGGGCCGCCGGGGTGGCCGGGGACACTCAGGAGCGGCAGCCACCGAAGAGGGAACAGCGCCGGAGTCCCGACGGCGCCTCGCTGCATGGAGCCAGGCCGCCGAGAGCTGTCGCCCGCCGACAGCCTCTGACCTCCCCCGCACCGCGACGTTTGAGACTCAAGCCGGCTCGCTCTCTCCTGTCAGCCTCGGGGCGTCCAGCGCCTCCGGCCACATCTGGGTCCTTGGGATCCGGTTCCAGTAGCCAGCCATGGAGCGGTGCAGCCGCTGCCGTCGCCTCGTCCTGCTGGTATCGCTGGTGCTGGAGCTGAGCGCGGTGTGGGTCTGGGCAGGTAAGAGAAGCCCTGAAGGCTGGGTTGTGGGAGTCAAGCTGGAGTTCTGAGTATCCCCAGGCGGGGCACAGCTGATACCTGGGGCGGAGCTTCTGAGTCCGAGAAGGGGATTTTGCGGGGTTAAGGGTGCAGGCTGAAGGGCAGACACGTGGTCCCTTAAAGCCAGGCTAGGGAGCTCTTCTCTTCCTTGTAGTGATTGAGAGAGGGCAAGTAAAGCTGGAAGGTGGAGGCTTACCTTAGTGAGTCGTGAGTGGGGCTGGATGCTGGGTCCCCGGGCAGAGCAGAAGATGGCCAGGGCCAGGGTGGTTCAGCGGGTGCTGGGGTGGGGAGGTGGATGCCTGTTGTTGATGGGGAAGGGTGTGTGTATGTCTTCTGGGCTTTCTATCTGTATCTTTGGGGTGAAAGCATAGACTAGTAAATAAAGAAGGGATGCCAGACTTTTAGTCCCACTGGCTTCCCCGACAGGATCCCCTTCCCCCTCCCTGTGCCCTCGATGCTGCCACGCAGCTGGCTCTGGGGAGCACTGCGGCTGGCTGCCAACAGGACGGCTGCTGGACAGGCTGGGATCAGGTGTCTGAGGAGAGAGCCAGCTCTTTGCATTCCTGCCCCACCCCTCCCCCTCTGGCCAGCCGGGCTCCCCTGGGACCCTGGTGTCCATAGCCCCAATCTTTTCCTTCTTTTTCCCAGGATCCAGAAGTCCTGGCTCTAAAGAAAGGGGATTTGATATCGCAGAGAAGGGGGCTCGGAGCACCTGGGTCCTAGGCAGGCTGAAGCAAGCCTCACTCCTGGGAACACTGGTGCCAGATTTGCATATAATTTGACTATTCATTTCTTCTTTAATGGTCTGAAAAGCAGCATAAAGGATTTAGATTAGATTACAGAGGAAGAACTTTCAACATGTGAGGAGCATGAGGCTCAGAGACAGGAAACTGAAGTGTGTGATGTCTGCAGACTCCAGGAGTCTTCCTTAGGGGTAAAAGGAACCCTACAGGCAGGCAGATGGCTGAGATGACTGTTTTTTATGTGGTGGCTGAGTGGGAAGAGGTGGAACTCTATGGGGAAATGGGTTAGTGTGGAATTCCTAAGAGTAGGGGCACTTTGGGGGCCAGAGGTAGAGCAGTGGAGGGGGGTGGGGCTACCAGCGTGGAGCCTCGGGGGCAGATTGAGGCTGGAGGCAGTGGCTGCATATGGGGTCTGAGGTGGGTAGATAGGTGGGCAGATCTGTGGGTAGGTGGTCTATAAGTTAGAACTATGCTCTCCTGGGGTTTGGTGCAGGGTGGGGGCCTCTGAGGTCTCCTTGGCCTGGGGTCTCTGTGAGTCTCTGTGTCTCTGTCTCACTCACCCTTGGTCTCTCAAAGCAGCCCTTGTGTGATGGTGTTTGCGGAGCTGCCACACGTGGGGGCCAGGCTAGGGCGGGGGGGCCACGGCCCTGGTTTCCCTGCTCCTGGACTCAAAGGGCCTTTTCTCTGCCTGCCCGCCCCACCTCACCCACCCCACCCAACTCTGCTCTCCTGATCGCTCTGGTCCCTGCCCTGCCCCATGCGTTTATGAAAGTTCTGCTGGTACTTTCTTTGGGATTTTTCCAATGTGGAGCTGATGGTGTGAGAAGTGTGTGTACCAGAGAGAAGTGAGGGAGAGGTGACCTTTGTTTTTCTGGAAGTTTGAGCCCAAGGAAGCTGAGTTCTAGATGGATAGGACTGGTGGCCTGGGTCTTGAATCTTTGGATCCCGGGTGGAGGGGATGGTGGGGCAGGGCTGGAGTTCCAGGTGTGGGGAGCTTGCCCGGCTTTTGGGCAAGGATTCTGATGAGATTCACAGATGTGTGGCTTGGGGCCCTGGACCTGCTCCGGCAGCTCGTGGCAGCTTCAGGCTCCCACCTGCCCAGCCCCCAGGCTATCTCCCAAGCGGGGGGCACAGGCTCCTGGGGTAGTTCTTGCATAGCATCCCTCAGCATGGTCAGAGTTGTCCCCCTCTCCCCAAACATGGCAACTGCAGCAGCTTGAAGCCCCTTCTCCAGACATGCCTCTGTGCTCCCTCCCTGGTCACCACCCTGCAACCCCCATGCCCAGGATGATCTATTGCCCAGATGTTGTTTGTGCTGGAGACATGGGACAGAGGCCAGAGACCCAGAGACCAAGAGATACAGAAAGGGAATGAGAGAGGGAGAAAAGGAAAGAAAAAGATGGACAGTGTGAGGGAAATGGAGGAAGACAGAGGAGGCAGGGAGATAGAAAGAGCAACATATATGGAGACAGAGAGTAAGAGAGACAAAGTGAGAGAAGGGAAGATGGATAGAGAGGTGAGAGAGAGATTAAGAGAGAGCAGAGTGAGATTCACAGGGTGGAAGACAGAAGGAGGGAGAGAGTGAGGAAGACAGAGGCAGGCGCTGAAGGGAGAGGGGCAGGGGTGGGCCTGCAACTGAGCACTGGTCCAGCAGTGCCTTTTTCTGGGTGACTGGGCTTCCCATCCATTCAGGGCCCATGCAGGAGCAGGCAGGGAGAGGTGACCTTTGCCTTCCAGTGTTCTACACCCCAAGGGTTCCCTGTCTGGCCCTTCTGAGGGTTTGTCCCTCCCCATGATCCCAATGGACCCTCCCAGGTACAGCCCCTGTGGATGTGCTCCAGGCCCTGAGGTTCCCCTCCCTCCCTGATGGTGTCCAGAGGGCAAGAGGCATCTGTCCAGCTGATGTGGCCTACCGAGTGTCCCGACCTGCCCAACTTAGCGCACCTACCCGCCAGCTTTTCCCAGGTATGGATGACATGGGGGAGTAGGGAGAGCTGGGGGAGGTCAAGGGGTGGGGTCTGGGATCAGACAGCAGAAGGGAAGGGGCTTATGGTTCTCTTCGCCTCTCACTTCACCTGTGTTTCTCTTGGGTACCAGGAGGTTTTCCCAAAGATTTCTCTCTGCTGACTGTGGTCCGGACCCGCCCTGGCCTCCAGGCTTCCCTTCTGACTCTCTACAGTGCTCAGGGCGTCCGACAGCTGGGCCTGGAGCTTGGCCGGCCTGTCCGCTTCCTGTATGAGGACCAGACCGGCAGGCCTCGACCCCCGGTTCAGCCAGTCTTCCGAGGCCTCAGCTTAGCAGATGGCATGTAAGTCAGCTTGCTCCTCTGGTCTGCCTGGCCTGCACTTTCAGGAGATCCCCTCTGGCCACTGCCCTTAGAAACCCTACTACCTAAACTTGGAAACCCTGCTAACCCTTTTGACTACACCTCACCAACCTACTGCACAAACTTCAGTCACTTCAGCTTAGAGTTTGTGCTTTAGAGTTTAAATGCTTGCATGTAGCACTAGCCTGTGCCTTGGGCAAGTCACTTAGCTTTTTTGAGCCTCAATGTCTATGTCTGTAAAATAGGAACCAAAGAATCATGAGAATCAGATGAGAAGATTACTGCACAGTGCCTGTACTGTATTGTATATGTATTATGTAGGTAGCTGCTGTGATGACCTGTTATCATTGGCTTCAACCCTTCCATTAGCTGCTCCCCAGTCCTGTTGACTTTTCCCCCTTCAGTCACTTGAACCACTCTCCCCGTAACCAGGTGGCATCGTGTAGCCGTGGCTGTGAAGGGCCAGTCTGTCACCCTCATAGCTGACTGCAAGAAGCGAGTCACCCGGCCCTTCCCCCGAAGCGCTCGTCCAATGTTGGACACCCATGGAGTGATAATATTTGGTGCCCGTATCCTGGATGAAGAAGTCTTTGAGGTAATCACAGCAGTCAGAAGACAGACTGATTTCTGGTCCCATATCTTGTGTCCACCCCCTTCTGGCCTACTACTCCATCTTCATTTTTCCTCTCATTTCCATTTCCTATCCTCAGGGCTAATTTTCTCTGTAGGAGAACTAGGTGCCCATTTATATGGCAGGGCTGGCTGTCTTCATCAGTCCCATATGTCCACCCACCTCATCTACTCATGTGTATGAGGATGCATACATGTATCCATCCACCTATTTATCTGCCCATCTTACCCACCCCCTCTCCATCCAGCCATTCATTCACCTACAGATTCACTTCCATCCATCTAGCTCCCTACTGATCCATTTCCATCTATTCTGAACTCCCACCAATCCTCCCATGCATGCATTTATTCATTCACCATCCATCAACCCTTCTTCAATCATGCATTTGAACCCCCACTCACCCAGCCACCCAGCCACCCAGCCAGTCAACATTTCCTGAATACCTCCTGGCCCAAAGCCAAGGTGAGCACAGAAGACCAATATAAGGTCTCTACCATCCCCAGGAGTTCTCAGTTCCACTTTGAAGATGAGACAGTATCCCCAAACTGCAATGCAGGGCAGGGTATACTAAGCATCATGAGCGAGCACAGATAAATGCCAGTGGCATTCAGAAGTGGCTTCCCTCTGTCCCATTTCTAGAGGTCCTGAGAATTCTCATCACTGCCATTGGAAGGTCAAAGCAACTCGGGCTGGGCCACTGTCCTCCGAAGGCCCTGTGGAAAGGCTCGTGCATTACCACGAGGGGCAGGGAGAAGGCAAAAAGTATTAAACTTAAGAGTTAAGAGGCTTGAATTCTTGAGTCTACTATTGTGAGTGACCTTGGGCCAGTCATTGCCTCTTTGAACTTTTCTGAATGGAATGTATCTGAAAAATAGGCATAAAGATCCTTGTCCTACTGACATGCTCAGTTATGAAGGTCCAGTGGGATTATGAATGAGAAAGTCCTTTGGAAACTGAAAAGGGCTGTGTACATGGGAGAGCTGATAATGACCTTTTCCCATTATGTAGTTTTACCTAGGATTGGCCTGCTGCTCTGTGCTCCAGACTATACCCTGTGCCTCTCTCTGAAGCCCTCTCTGCATCCCCCCATTGGTATCGCCTCCTCATGTCTTGTCAGGGTGATGTCCAGGAGCTTGCCATCGTTCCGGGGGTGCAAGCTGCCTATGAATCCTGTGAAAAGAAGGAGCTGGAGTGTAAGGGGGGTTGGAAGGAGAGACCTCAGAAGCAACAGTCTCACAGAGCCCAGAGATCTCCAAAGCAGCAGCCATCAAGACTTCATAGGCCACAAAACCAGGAACCGCAGCGACAGGTGAGGGAGCTGGGTGAGCCTCAAACCACAGCACACCCCAGGGAAACAGGACCCAGACATATCCCCAGGGGGATCCCCCAGTGTTCTAGAGCTCCCCATCTGCTACCGGGCTCCTGTTCTCCTCTCCCTAGTGCCCCTCCCCAACCATACCTCCCTATTCCCATCACCCCCTACCCCCTTCCCAGTCCTCATTCAGCACCCTTTTTATTTTCATTTAAAAATAAAAAGATCGTTAAGAAGAATCTGTGGCTGGGAGCTATGTCCCCTTCTTGTGTCTTCTTTTCCAGTCCTGGAACTGTGTCCCTGGGTTTCCTATCCCTTCTTTGAATTAAGAGATTGGGAGAGAGTTGGACGGGGTGAGACCTGGGGATGGGAGATGGGAGAACAGAGCAGGGGAGAGAGAGGCAGCAACAGGGAGAAAGCAGTTGAAATGGTAAGACCTAGGGGGAGAAATGGAGGAAGGGGTAGGAGGCAGAGGGGATCCCAGAGGAGTGGTGGGTGCAGGCTGAGGGGCTATGGTGGGGGGAAGGGAAGGGTGGGGTCTGGATGGTCAGGGTGACAGATATGATCTGGGGTCAGGGGTCTGAAGGTTAGAGGGTCAATCTCTTAATCATGTCTGCTTCTGTCCCACATGCGGGACCCATCCCTCCTTTCCTACCTCTCCCCCTCCCTCTCCTGTCCTCCAACCTCCCCTTTCATCCCCAACTCTCTATTTCCCAATTCCATGCCCGCCTGTTCCCTGCCTCCCACGCCATCTCCTCCTTCCCCCCCCCATCTCCCCATGCCCTCCCTACCTGTACCCACTGCCTGCCCTCCCAGCCCCAGCCCCCTGAGTCTTTCTACTATGACTACGAGACCCCCTATTACGAGGTGATGACTGCAGGGACGATCCCTGATTATCAGGTAAACTTGAGGGGCCCCTTCACTTCTTCCCCCCCCCCCCGCCTTTGCAAACATCTATGACACTTTCCTCCCCTCCCAGCATGTGGGG